TGTGGGTGTGGGTGTGGGTGTGGGTGTGGGTGTGGGTGTGGGTGTGGGTGTGGGTGTGGGTGTGGGTGTGGGTGTGGGTGTGGGTGTGGTTGTGTGGTGTGTGAGGTGTCGGTGTGTGGGGTGGGTGTGGGTGTGAGTAAATTGATCAGGACATCCACATCATACCCACACCCAAACTCCCATACCAACACGCAAAACCCCACTCGCATACCCACACGCACACCCACACCCACAGCCGTACCCACACCCGCACGCACCCACACACACCCACACCCATAACTTTAACATGTCGATGAATGCTGTTACTCTTTCTCTTCACATTCTACCAATTGAAATTCTCTACTAGATTTTTTTACTGTATCGATGAAGAAACAATTATACTGTCTCTTCAAAATACATGCCTACAATTGAAAACAATCGCGAATACATATGATCGGTACAGTCTGAATCTAAAATCGATATCAAAGCCACATTTTTACATTATATGTCAAAAGCTTCATCCCTCAAATATAATCTCACTCATACTATCCGATGACAGCCATACACCAGGTCAAATTGAAATGTTTCTTTCATTATTTTCTATTCGACAATTCAATTAACTTCGTTCGTTAACGTTGTTTGCAATTGAAGAACATCATCTCAATGATATTTTATAATGTATCAATATAATTTCACTAACTTCACTCTCGTTTAACGTAACACAGTATGGCAATCGGAGTACAAACAGAACAGTAGCTAGTATGTTATCAGTTCTGATACAATAAAATCTTCGAAGCCTTAACTTAGACATTGAATATGTTAGAATACGAACATTAAATTGGCCTATTCAATGCACAGTTTAATATCTTAGAATAATCAAATCAATAGAATTCGATCAATTCTGTTCTATTCTCCATCACTTAGATCACCTTCGAATACTCGTATTGGGTAATATTACAAATATAAAATCGTCTACTGTAACACCTTATCGACAAATAACTTCATTGATCTTCGAAGATTACTCAATGGAAATGCATAAATTTGAATTAATATTGTCAATTACACCTTCACTTGTTCATCTAAAGTTGATCGGTAGCAGAAGTTCTCTAGAAGGTAATCGATGAGAACAATATATTCAGGTAAATCTACCATTATTGAACAAATTCGAATTTTTTCTCTTACAACGGGATTTCACTGAACGAAACCCAAATATTATTGAATCAATAATTGCGCCGTTTAGAACCCCATTCTGGCTAAAAATCAAACGTTGGCTTGTTACTTGTGAATATAGTATTGAAAATTCAAATGAAATTCGACTCTATTCGATATCAATATGTTGTTCGTACCTAAACTACGTACCCAAATCAATGAAAATATCCTGCTCGAATTCACCGCTAATAATTGACAATGATGCATCAACGATGGATAATGTAAAAAAACTTTCTATGAATACCCTAAAAGTTGTGACCGCTGCAATCGAGTCGAAGGTACTTTAGTATATACAGTAAAACCTCTCTAATCTGAACACCTTCGGGACTAGTAAAAAACGTTCATAATAAGGAGTTGTTCATAAAGGAGAAGTCTGTTTCCAGCAAAAATCGATTTTTGGAACCGGCTAGAAGCGTTCATAATAGCAAGGTGTTCATTAAGGAGGGGTGTTCACAAATAGAGGTTTTACTGTAAGTAGAAAATGCTATTGAAGTATCACAAACAAGAAAAATTCAGAGCAATTCATACATACAGTGGATAGGCTATCTACCGACAACTATCGACCGTCAGTTCTCTGAAAAAGTTTAATGAATTGATTTCACATGTATTACAGAGAGACTTCATAGCCGAGGTAGACTTAGCACCAGTGTCGGCACGAAACAGAGGCAAGATGTAAAGCGATATTTTAGAAAAGAAATCTTTTCCATAAAACTATCATTGAGTAAAACAAAACAGCAGATTCGTGTTGAGTCAGAACTCGTCTGTTCTGTTATATTCAAACCGGAAACAGCCGCAAATAAAAAATAGTGAAAGAAAAAAATATATCCTTCGAGTTATTATCATAAGTAAGTGGCAGATATGAATGCTATTGCAAATGATTCATGCAGTGTTGGTGAAAGGGTGTGCTGAAGCTTCATTAATAATGTTTTCGATATTTTTTCTTCGAAAGTTTTTACTTTTGGCCAAATTCATGCCGTTCGAATTAATCAGTTTCATGACGATTATTGTCAGTTAGATGATCGATATGGAAATTAGTATATGGATGTGCAAGTATATCATCGAAGAAACAGTAGATTGTCACGTCATGATACTAGTTGAAAAACTGTTTGTTTAATTAAATCACGAAGTTAAAATTGATGTACTTGTTCTTTTTTGTAGATTGGACAGTCGACATGTTATTTATTTCGCAAGACGACCCAACTTGCACTAACCGTAGAGAAACATTGGCCACTTGATATGGTTGAGTTTCTGTCGACCTTTATCGATCTTTCACATCTTGTTTACCTCAAGGTAGATAGTTTCGAAATTCGGTTCAATTCAGACATGATGACTGACATCATTGCTCTACTGAAACAAGCATGCAATATTTCTTCATTCGAAATACAGTTTAGTTTTTCTCGAAAAGATTCTGTGATAACGGTAGAACGCATCTATTCGATGATACCTTCTCATGTACAACATTTACGTGTAACAATATATAATACCCATCAAATGACAACAATTCTTGCATTATTAGAACTCACAAATCATTTAGCAAGTGTTCATTTTCATGTCTTATAGAGACGAATGTTTGAAAAGATCATTCAATGGCTTCGGCAGAACAGTAAAAATTCAACATATCGAGGAAACTGGAATTCTCTAGAGGTGTGGCTTGATGAAAGTGCCATTCAGTCAAGTCAAATGATAGTTAGCCACAAACGAAAGTATGAACTGGAGTGACGGCAATTATTCAACGTTCTACAGACGAAATTCAAGATAACGAAATGAATTTCAGTGACTTTGTTGCTAACACTTCTATTGTGCTTATTTAAAGGACATTAGTAAGAAATATTAAACAAACAGAGAAACTAAAATAAAATAAAAATAGTCAATTACATGCTTTACAAGTAAGAATGATGACAGGCTTGAATATGTTTTGTATATATTTTATACCAACAATAGTGATGATTCATAACTAATTTTATCCCGTTGAAAAATAAGAATTGCAAGACAAATGTTCTGTGAACCCATGAATTCTGACATGCTCTTCCAAATAGAAAAATTAAATATATAGATTGAAGCTCCATAGAGCATTTCGGATTACCAGATGAACTATTTTTAATTCTTGCTTGGTGAATATCTTTCGCAAATAGAATGGTATTGGGCCGAAAATTTTAGCATAGCCTCTCCAGTAAGTCCCAGTATATTAAGAAAAATTCATGCGATTTACATGTGCATGAACCAAAATCACTTTTCTGGAGGGGTAGGCATGATGTTAAGTGTTTGAGTATTCTTGAGACTGACTAAAAATGGTTTCTGAAATCCCAGAAGCCTTCTATAGGATTCCAGGAAAACGGAATTTTTTAGAGCGTTTGATCACAAAACTAAAATTTAGAACAGAAAGATTAGTTTATTTTAAAATAAGAGAATATATTGTACTCGAGTTGGTGGATTACAAAAATGATCAAATGTAATAAGATATGCTATGCTAGTGATCTGATTTTTGTTTCAGTTTGTACTCTGTAACAATAAGATCAGCTGCTCGTGCTGCTACTGCATAGACCAGCGATTGCGTATTGGCTGAAAACGAAGATGGAGCCACGGATGCATCAATGATTCTCAAATGTTCCACGCCCCAAACTTTCATATTCGTTGGATTGACGACAGACAACGAATCTGTTCCCATCTTACACGTACCAATGTAGTGAAATCCTGTAGTGGCATTTCCACGAATCCATTCAATAAGTTCGTCACGAGTTTGATAAGTAGGACCAGGCGAAACCTCGCGAAAATTCCACTTTGCAAAACTTGGCTGTGACATAAGTTGTCGACCTAGGAAGATTGCGTTTATCACCCGATCAAAATCTGAGTCAACGCTTAGATAGGTAGGATCAATCGCAGGTGGTGTCAAAGGATTCGAACTCTGTATCATAACTGCACCTTGCGACTTGCATTGTTGAATATTGGGTGACAGAACTAATGAGTTCTGCCAATCAGCTGGCCACGAATTTCCGATCATATTTCCTGTACTAAATAACATTTCAATGTTTGTTAGAGAGCCTGTTCCATTGCCAAAAGATACTTGTTGTGTTGTACTATTATCTACTGCAAATAAGACTGCACTCAGAAAGGAAGCAGGTGGACTTTCTATTTCGATAGCATCCGTTGTATAAACCAAGTTCACAACCACATCGTCACGTAAATTAATACCAACACCTGGAAGATCTTTTACAACTTCAATACCCAACGACTGTAATTGAGTAGCATTACCAATACCACTGATTTGAAGAAGTTTGGGTGTGTTAATCGTGCCAGCGCTAAGAATGAGCTCTTTACCGACTGCGACCGAGAATTTACATTGATGTTTTTCGCTGTACAATTCAACATAATCAACTACAGGAAGCTTATCATTGCTGAAGTTGAAGCCTATGGCTTGGAGGTCAGTAATCAATTGTAAATTAGTTGGCCATGATGTCTGAAGATATTTCTCATATGAGGTAACTCGATTGTAGACTGAATTGCCTTCCTGTTTCATTTCCTTGCCAACATCATTGATACTCATAACAAAGTTGGCGATACCGAGCATATCTGGTCCATGATTATAAGATGGGTTATATGGAAAACCTGCTGTTCTTGAAGCTTGAAAGATTGCGTCAACCAGTCCTTGTGTATCATTAGCAGGATAAACAACTTTCAAAGTATCTTCGACAGCATCAAAATATGGTATCAATGTTTCAGCATTCCAGTTCACAGCGCCTTCATGCAACTCCCAAGCATCCATCCTAGGAACAAAGTCATTAATGTAAAAAAGAATGCTATATCGAATCGTATATGTGATTTGTTAAATTTTCATTTAATGTAAGAAGTGCTAATCAACTGTTGAATTCAGTTTTAACCATTTTTAGCAATACTTTTGAGAAATTTTACACGTTCACTCGTTCTACAATAGCTGTTGTACAAAAGATTTCATAAATGACCCAGTTTATGAAACTCTTTGTCAATAAGAATCTAACATACAAAGTAGATTGTATGGAAATTTCAAAATTGCCCAAACTCTAGCGAAAGCATCATTGGAAAAGAGGTCTTGCTACCTAAAAACTGAAATCTATTATCTGTTGATTATATTTTGCCAATTTGCCGATAGGATTCCACATATACATTAGATACAATCTTAGAGCGCTAATTGATCTAGACTGCTTTAAAATGAAACCAGACTCATTTTGAATCACATAATAAGGCATGGATCATGTCTCATAACACGATAAAGCTAACGATTTTTAAAATGGTTATAAAAATAAGTTTTACTTCACATATTCTTACATTCTATATTAGAACAAACGATTGATTTCAGCAAAGAAATCTTTATTTTTCCCACCTGATTCCATTCAAGAAGTAGATGAACTAGACGAAATTCGTTGGTCTGATTAAAGATTACGAGGGCTGTTCTACTAGTAAAAGAAGTAATTGATTTCATTCATCGATTCTAATTTAGCGTGTAGTATAGATCTTGAGTAGAAATTCTTAAGTTTTTATATAGAAATCTTTCAACACGTGAAAATTAGAGTTACAATACAATAAAAAATGAGAATTCATTTTTTATATATGAATAGTAACACTCAGATAAAACAAACAAACTGAGGTTACGGAAGTTTTCAGTAGATTTTCTATTTGAAAATGATTTGTAGAAACCCTACTAGATATAATTCCTTCTCTAACCAGGAACAAGAACGACTAATATTCATTTGAATGTCGATTATATCCATTGTTGGATAGAAGTACTTATCTATCGGCAGAAATTGAAGCTTTCCAATTGGGCGTACACAAATAATTATACTCTTTTTGAAAGAAAACAGTATATATAAATAATTTTTTCTTTCAAACCTTTTCAAAGAGATGATTAGACTGTGAAATCAGTCGTCGTTATACTTACCACTTTTGTCCTCCTCTGACATATCCCATTGCATTATGCATTGCACTTCCTCCAGTACCTTTTGCAAATCCGAGGTTAATGATTCTCTTATTCAATTCCGTTTGAGCCACAGTATGAAAATGCCATTCTAATGTATCATTATGTAGCACATTGAGCCATAGAGCTGGATTAGTAATATTTTCATTATCATTATTTCCTGTTGNACTGATTCTTATGTAACATATTTGAACTTTTTGTCGTTGACAACAACAGTGTTAATCAATGGACAAGAAACCAAAAAACGGATGTCACCTTCAATCAATTCAAACAAAAAGAGGAATCGGACATTAGCAAGAAAAATATAATTTAATACACCAAATGGAAAAGAACCAAATCTTCCGATTTTCGGCAATCAAAGAAGATATGCTTTTTGTAGTACGCGCAAAGATCTATATCGAAGTACTTGTCATTGTTCTCATTGTAATAGAGCCTTTTGTATGAATTCTAAAAGAAACTGCTTTTATGAATATCATAAAAATATTTTGTAAATAATTAAGCTTTTTGTTGTAAATTTTTTTGTGTATTTTTGTATACGTATGTCATTGTAATTAAATATATTTCTTTTTGAACTAAGGTAGTTTTAAAGATGTTCAAAAAGTGTCGATAGATACATCAATAACACTTAGTACATATCTCAAATATAAAGCCTGAAAGAAATTTCGGTCACTGGTTAAGCCATGGTAATCAAAGAGTTAAAAAAAACTTTCCAATTATATTGAGGTCTTTATTGTAGTAAAATATTTCTCGTTGTATTGTATGCCTAATTTCTTTGTTATTTGATTGATTTCCTAAATTGTATTTTAATTCAGTTTCATCCTTTTACCGTCTGAAGATGCAACTCAAGATGGAGAAACCTACGCCATTTAATTAAATAAAAAATTGAATTTAAAATGAATTTTGTCTCTGCTGTTAAAACAATACTAAAAATAACAAAGATACGGACGGCACATAAAAGAAAATGAACTATGTTGTTCATCTTCGGAAATGTATTTGCACACTTTTTTTTCTTTACCATACAAAAAAAATATTTTCCAAATGCGTGACAAGGCATTTTCCGCAACTTAGTAGCAAATGTAATTAAGCATAATCAGCATCGATGGCATCAAACACTTTACAGTTGATTCTCTTTCTCTTTCTCTTTGTTTTTGTTCTAGTCATTGACAAAGAAGAAGAGAATGAACCGAAAGCAATTGAGACGGTTGCGATCGTGAACAAGGCACTTGACGTCACTCTATGATCTTGCTGTGTTAGTTGTTTGTTCACCGATCTCTAGTGCTCGTCTTGTTGACACGTTGACGGATCAAAAAGTTACCGATAGCTACGATTGCATTTGAGACGGTTGGGTTTGATTACTTTTGCTTCTTTCTCTTTTCTTTAAATAAGGCAGTAATATCACTCAACTGCTTAGTGAGCAGAACTAGAAAAGCAACGGAATACATTCAATGAAGGATCCAATAGAGCCGTCGATACCTCGTTCTATCGTCGAGCGTCGCCGTCGTTCAATTCTCGCGGATTATCTGATCAAGACTGCGACCCATGGTCTACGCAATGTCGGCGACGCGCAGGGTACGTGGCACCGAACGTTCTGGATCATCACTTTCTTCGTAGCATTCGGTCTAATGCTCTACTTTGTGATCTCCTCCGCACTTCAGTATTTAGACTATCCGACACAAACCAAGGTCGAAATTGAAGCCGAGCGTGACATGCCTTTTCCAGCCGTGACTGTATGCAATGCCAATCCATACAGAGAAGACAAAATCAACGCATCGTTGCTTGCATACGCTCAACGAATCGGAAGTAATCTGACAGGCAGTGCTCTGCAAGATCTTGCCTATCAAATGATCGTCGATCTCTTCAATATGAACGAAACTGCCGAACTGTTCAGCATTGGCTTTCAATTGGAGAACATGCTGCTCGATTGCTCCTACAACGGCATAAATTGCTCGTCTAATTTCATCGGTTCCATTTCGTCTGTGCTTGGCAACTGCTTCACGTTCAACTGGAAAGCAGCCATGGAGAAAATGTTCACATTGGCTGATCTGGGCTCGACACTGGATATTTTCGAAGGTTTATCGATGACCTTTTATATACCACGCCATCTTAACTTTCCCGCTACCTACTTCGAGGAAGGTTTGATTGTATTGCTACATGACAATGATGAACTTCCGTTTGTTCTCCAAAATGGAATACGACTACAACCTGGCCTTGCTCATACAATTACTTATACAAAAAGCCAGACGATTTTTCTTCCTTCACCTTACACAAATTGTACATCATCGGTCGAGGAAGATATGCGTGATCTGTACACTACTACATTCAATTTCGGAGCTTCTCGTGCCGTTAGTTACTCAGAAGCAGTGTGTTACGAACTATGTGAGCAAGCTTATGTCTTTTCTCAATGCACATGCATCTTCCCCACGCCGTTTTTCATGCGGCATGTCTTCTCTCGTGGGCACGATAATCTCCTCGCCACTAATTGCTGCACACCATTCAGTTCGGGGGAAGAATGTGCACTGAATGCTCGACAGCAATTGGCCTCGAATTCTGCTCTGTCAGCTACCTGGTGTTCCCACTGTGTTCCTCAGTGCACATATACGTACTTTTCTACTGAGCTGAGTGCTCTCTCTGGGCCAACATCTGCCCAAAAGGAATATTGGGCATCTGTTTTGCTGAACAATATGTCAAACTCGACCAGTTTGGCCTTGCCAAATGATTTTGCAGCAAAATATGATGCTTATATGAATTCGAACTACCTTCGGGTGACTATCACATGTGGTAGTCGATATGTAACGATTAACAGACAAGAAGCAAAGTTGACCATTGTTGACACATTTGCAGCTATTGGCGGTCAAACTGGACTGTAAGCGAAACTTCTTGTTTGTTTCTTATCTAGGTGTTGATTGACTATTACTAGATGGATCGGCTTGAGTGTACTGAGCTTCATCGAATTCTGCGAATTGATCTATTGGATGGCTATGAAACGAATCTTTTTATGGCGAAGTCTGCGGCAAGTCAAGACGAATAGTGAAATCGGTCTGGAAAACTACTGAAAGTTGTTATGCTACTGCTGATATTCAGAAAAGATTTACATTTAAACAGCAATTCTTGTTCGCTTGAGTTTCAAACTCGATGAATAAATGATTTGTCTCTTGTGCTAAATAACGAGCCGAATATCGTATTGTTTGAACGATTCAAAACCATTCAACAGACAGGATTTTTTCTTAAGTAATATACAGCAATGCATGCTAGTCTGCACGATAAATTGTTCAGTTCGCCTCACCATCGATGAGTTCTGATATCAATTCCATTGAGAATTTATGGTCCTTGCTCACGGTGAAAGTAGCAAAGCGTCAACCGACGATACTCGACGATTTCACCAGAGCGTTCTTTTATTGCACGTTCTTCTAGAGCAAAGTTGATTACAAATAACTAGTGAAGAGAAAACTGGAAATCAAACAAGCTTTACGACATCTTGACATGTTTTCAAAATGACATACAACGTAGATATATTTATAAAAACTAAATCTTCAGCTGCTCTTCCAGCACCGCCACAACCACAAATCGAAATATCCACTTGTTTCAACCAACGTTAACGTATGATAAGCGCGAGCTAGTGTCATATTTGCTGCATTTGAAAAGATCCGGCATGAAATTAGGTTTTCAGTAGAAATATTTCTCAATCAAATAAAGCAAAGTTTGCAGAGAAGGGCAGAGGCGTATAATGCAGCATTTTGGTCTCTCTTGACTTGTCTCTCTTGACTTGTTTATCTAGTCTCATTGAATAGTATGTGTTTGTGGCCGAAAAAAACATTCTGTCTTATTCAACAACAAGATTTGAGCAAATTTTTAAAATATACATTAACAATAACAAGATACCATTCGAAGCAATCTGCTGATAGTCACTAGGTGAAATATCTCATGTTGGTAGGAGCATTGTGCGTTGTCATCAGTGCCTTCTTCAGATTGTGCATCCACACAGATACCCGCTTACACATAGCACTGTACAAACGGATTGAACAATCTTTTCAGACGGCTAACAGAGCAAGAAATTTCATCATATTGCCACTTTCGTTATCGAGAAACAAAGAATCCTTTGCAGTGTGCCTACAATACACACGACGCTATATTGAATAACTTTGTGGATAGCTCATGCATTGTGACTGTAACCCTGAGGGTATGAGTGCTGGGTATGGATGTGGGTTTGGGTGTGGAGGTGCCTGTGTGGGTGTTTTTCTACTACCGGACATCCTAACCTTCATACCCATTAACGCCCACATCCCACACCCACCCATCCGTAGCACACAATTTGGGCTGGACAGATTTCGTTGGCATATTTCGGGGGGCAAAATATAAGATGATACGAGTCTGCTCCCGTGCGTGCATGAGATTTTACTGCTCGTTATGGCTCTATCAGGGTATTTTCTGATCGTGCGCGCATGTGAGAATACGCTAGACAATACTTGTATTTTTATTCACTCGCGATTTATTTACGAGAGAGAAACACAGAACACAAGAGAAAGAAATTAATCATCATAATAAGTTTATGCGATATTAAATTTTTGTACTCGATGATATCTTCAATCAGCGACATAGAGATTCCATTGCCGATCGAATGATAAACCAAAGGGCTCATTGAGTTGATTCGCTTGTCCTCCCTCACCCTTCCCACCAGCAACGATAGGGTGTGGGAGTGGGGTAAGAGTGTGAGAGAGTGTGTGTGCGTTGCTCTAGCTCTTCTATCCATCTACAACCAAAGTCACACCCGATATAAAAGTTTTTTTTCAATATAAAATTATTTCGAAGCGACAAGCACAAATGTTTTAATAATTTCTTTATCTCTGTTTCAGTTGTATAGAAGAGTATATGTGACCTAAAAGAGAATGATGGCGCATAACAGCAGAAATGAAATCGGCTTTCTGCAAGAAGTGTCACAGTAATCATCTTTGGTTTTATCTTATTCCAGTAAATGCACGCGTTTTCTGCTGAACGGTACTTTACAAATTCCGCAGAAAGTATTATCTAAAATGTCGGCAGAAAACCTAAGATTTGGGGGGAGGCAAGCCCCTTCGTCTCTGCCTCCCTTTTCCCTCCCCATCGAAAATCCTAATTCACATCCATACCATATTAACGCCCTTGTTTCTCCAACAGGGTGTAAAAAAAGGTCCCACTTTCAGAGTGAATTATCTTGCTACTCAGGCCGACTACTAACTGATGCAAGTAGTGCCTATACGATTTTTTCTCGTTCTCTTATAGCCAATAATTATTTACGGCTTGTTTGTGTTCCATTCTGCAAATAAGATACGCAAGGTACACTTTGAGTAATTACTTTCAGTTGTACAGGAAAAATACGATAAGCAGCCAACGAATGACTCATTTTATTCATTATCAATAGTTTTTTCTTTGCTAAGAAATTACAAAAGTCAAGACTCCTGGGAAGCCAAGATGAATCAATATTTGTTGATAGTAACTCTAGGATGTTTTCATGATATTGTGTGTGGTATCGACTTCCTTCTTCCGCTTTTTTTTCAAATGCTCGCCTCTCAATGATTTTGAGTAGTTGTTCTGTTGCCAAAAGTAGCTTTGTGTTTCAATAAAGCGTTGTGACACTCAACATGATTTCTTGTCTCTTTAAAGATAAGGCCAATTCAACTACAAGGATGTTTTAAGCAATAAAGGTATTCGGATTGTTCACGAGATACATTTCTACAAGAAGCCGAATAGAAGTTTTTTGTCTTCCCTTTCGATCTAAAATTATTAGTGAATTTCTTGTTTCACTCGTCATTCAAATCATTTACTTGTATCGTAGAAACGAGCGCTGAATTAGAATTTGCAAAATAAATATCTCAATGAATAATTCAATTCTTTCATCAATTATATTTGCTCATATATTATCGATATTTATTAATTCTCTTCTCGCTCTTATTACAGCTCACGGGTTTCTGAAGTACTTCCTCTGTAACTCATTTGACTGTGCACAATTATCAACCATATTCCATGCATAAATAAATGCACAGTAAGTGATCTTAATTTAGAAAAAAGCAAAATTTCAAGAAGAAAGGATCATCTATCTTTCTTACGAATATATCCTTCGACCAATACAATCCTTAGTAGATCTAGAACAGTTCAAACTCATAAGTTCCGATCAACTGCTCAAAAGAACTGATCCACACCAACAGTTCTTGTGCTTGGAACTGATCACCATCAAAAGGTCTTTTGCTAAGAACTGAGCTCTCCGAAAAAATATTGTTCCGACAAACAGAAGAATTTTGTTCTGTTTATGAGGAAAACAGTTTTTTGTGACAGCCCAGTTGTCGTCAAAAGAACTGTTGGTACATTTCTCAAGATTGAAACTTATATGCAACTGTCTTAGGTCTAATCCTTATTGATCAGGCTTACACTATTGACATCAACTTGAGCTGGTAAGTTATTGATCTGCTGTTCTGAACCATGAAACTGTTATGATATTTCTGTCCTTATAATAAGTGAAATAAGCCTTTCAAAAATTGTTCTTCCAGCAACACTAAATCGTCTATTGTTTAATGGAAGATTTCGTTTAAATGTTCATCAGACTGACAAGATTTGGTTTTACCCGCATATGCTGCTATTATCGATGTCATGAATCTGTACTTCCAAGTAAATAAACTCATTTGAAATTACTGCTCTGTTGACTAATATACACACAGAGAACATACTGTATCTGTTATTCCATTTTCTGTAATGAATTGTACAGAATTCGGTTTACCTCTAGAACCAGTGCATGGCCAGCGGCCCAATAATTTAAAGAATCTCATTAGAAAACATATTAAGGCGCTTATAATCATTTCTCTATGCATTGTCGTCTTCAATACTGTGTTAGTAGTGTGTTTAACTTTATTACTGCGGACACCGTCACCTAAGAAACAGCCTCTTCCACTGTATCATTCGGCAAGACTATCGCTGCGACCACAAACAAGACGACGTATAACTGACAATATTCCCTCAGGTAGATATCTAGATTTATGTGAAATACGATTATAAATGAGTGTTGAAGTCTACAGATAGTAAAAATAATCCCCAGGTCTGCTCCACATACCGTGACAGAGATTATGAGACATTCTTATTTTTGGACTTCATAACAAATTGGAATACACATTTCGATATGCTTATCTTTCATTTTCTGATGGAGTATATTAGACGTGGTGAAAGGTTTTGCTTACGATTAAACTGGCTCTATCCTGTTCGCATTTTAATTCCGCAGGGATTTTACTGAAAACGTTTTCAAAATGACTGCTTAATATTGACAAGCACAAAAAAACATAAAACCGCTTCTTCTTTCTTTCAGTTGTGAACAGCTCAACATTACTATTGCCTACATACCTTCCCTTTCGCATGGCTGAATATGATCAAAATGGCGAAGTCACCGTAAATAAAGCCATGCAAGATTTTTCCTGGAAATTTGTATATGATGATGACTATGGAGTCGATCTTTTCTTGGATACTAATCGACAGCGACTTTATGTAACCCAAAATAATCGTGTCGTCGTGTTTGACACAATAAAGTCACCTGAAAGTGGTAATATCATCGTAGGAGAAAATAGTGGCGGTCGACTTCCATTACTTTCTCATGCACAATCTACATTTGTCGATATCAATCAAAATTTGTATGTACTAGAAATGCATTATAAAGAAGCGTATAAATTGGAATTAACTTTATTCAACTTTAATTATCGTGTATGGTACTGGCCATTCTCGTCGATGAATGCAACAAAACTTTTACAAGGCAACGGGAAATGTTTTCGAATGGCATTAGATAAAAACTTAAATATGTACATAACGGAATTTGATGCTCATCGAGTCGTTAAATGGCATTCACCAGAATATACAAACTATTCGGTTGTTGCTGGGACTACTGGTATGCCAGGCTCACAGTCAACTCAGCTAAACTATCCTTACGGCAGTTATATAGATAATACTAATTTAGACATATACGTAGCTGATAAAGGTAACCGACGAATACAAAAATGGTCATTGAATGCTAGAGAAGGAATAACAGTTGTTTCAGATGTCTACGAGCCTAAGCAAATTTTACTTGATTGTTATGGAAATTTCTTAACAAACGATGGATATAGAGTTAAATTATACAATTCATTTGTAACAACCGGTCTTGATGGTATTTATCCACTAACTCACCTGGATTCGGACGTTATTGTTTATGATGAAAGTAATGAGAATATTTATGGACTTGATGTACGAAACGATCAAATCCTAAAACTATCCATTAGACGTGAAATTCTTTTATATAACAGTAAGTGTGCTTACTATTTTGTTTGTTGTTGTCTGGCTAGAACTTTTGAAACTAAAGTGACAAAATTACTTTTTAGATACTGCCAACACCAGTGAAGAACAAAGACCAATTGTCGATTGTGGATCACCTACAGACTCAGTTTGGGAAACAATGGGGGAAATCATTCCAGGAAACAATAGTCGTGGGTATGGTATAGGAATTAGGTAATTGTGTTCACCAACTGACATGTTTATGGCAAATAGTAACCATTTATACACAGTTGATTCAGATAATTATCGGATACAACTATATAATGTAGAAGATCAAAGTGTTCAAACAGTTCTTAGCAGCAATAATGGCTTAATCAAACCTATTAGTGTCTATGTTGTTAGTGAAACAAGCGGCATCTACGTACTCGATCATATCAATAGGATCCAGTTTGTTGTTAAATTATGGAGAGCCACCAGTGGAGAAGGAACGATCATTATTCCAAGTGACTCTGGTCTCTATTATGATATATTTTTAGATCAAGATTACAATATATATATATGTCTTCCTTTTATGAAATTAGAAAATGGTTTGCACCTGACTATCTTTATAGTATAGTCATTGCGACATTTCATTCGATGGCAGATTCAGTGCCTATCTACGTAGACGAAAGCTATAATGTATATTTGTATGATTGTAATGAACCTGAAATTCAAATGTGGTCAATAGGTGGTAAAACAGAGCCCAGTTTTAAAACTATATTAAAATCTCTACCGAGCACGAAAACCTATGGCCCCATTGGTTTTACGTTAGATTGTAATAAAAATATCTATTTTAGTAGCTATGTTAATAAGACCACCTACGCGATTTTTCGTCTAACTCCACATGGCAATAGCACTGTAGTCAAGATAATTCAGAATCTATCTTATGTTTCAGCCATTCAGTTTGATCAAGACGGCAATTTATATGTGTCTGAAAAACACAGACATCAGATAAAGAAATTTGCAATTTTAAATTAGTGAAATTGAGATTATTTTCATTGATTTAATTATTGAACATAGTGACATAAGTCTTTCTTTAATTTCTGAAGTTTGGATGATAACTCAATCAAAAAAACTAACGATGATATCATATCGTACCATTCACGAATCTGTCTGTAAAATTATCTGTTTGAATATCTTATGACACTTAACTAGTTCACTGTTTTTTCTATGCGGAAAATATGGCATCGACACACATTCGCAAAAATATCGAACTTTTTATATCCACTACTGTTCTTCGCACTGAGCATTATCGTTTATTTTGTTTCCTCCTCGTTAAAATTTCTAATCTATCTTTCTTCCTTAGTGTTTCTATATTCTGAAGTATTTTCTATCTGTAGCTTTTCCTGTATTTTTTTTTCGCACTTGAATTCTAATAAAATATATTCAACTGACTTTGGATCTCAAGCATATTTTGCCGCTGTTGCAGATTTTAATAACAACAATCGGTTGTGGGCATTTCCATTGTCGATTATACGTTGAACAACATATGCATATTCCTGGAATAGAACATTTTTGAAAAAGAAAATTCTTGGCAAAAGACATGTCATGCAAATCTATTTTTATGCTGAACCAGAATAAAATACTCGAAACGAATAATTAACAGAAAAAGTATGCAAGTTTCGCAACCTGCCTTTTTCCTGAGTTTTCAGGGGTAACTTTTGTTTGAAATATTTCTTAACTAACACAAAGTAAACCAAATTAAAAAGTTGATACTCAGAATCAGCGTCACGACCTCTATCAAATCTTGCATAACTCAACAAAATCTTATTCCCCTACTGTATGTTTGAACTTTTTTAGTCTGAGCAAAATGATCATATAGTTCTTGCAGCGGTTATTTTATTATTTTTGGTTTTGATCTTGTTGGACAACGCGTTAGAGACCTGCACGGAGTTGTTTTCGAAATTGGCGTCGGAGTCAATTAATTCTTTTGCTGAAAATTTAGTTTTAGCATAAGAAATGTTTTGACTTGCAGGTTTTGTTCTCCGATATTTAATGTATAAACTGACGCATTTTGAAGATTCCAATGATATGTTATCAAGGTCAATGACTATGAAAAAAAAGTCGAAGTCAGATTCAACTTCGATTTTTTTTCATGGTCATTGACTTTCTTTCAGGATCATTTGGTCTTGACAACATGTCATTGGAATCTTCAAAATGCGTCAGTTTATACATTAAATATCGGAGAACAAAACCTGCAAGTCAAAAAATTTCTTATGCTAAAACTAAATTTTCAGCAAAAGAATTAATTGACTCCGAAAACGACTTCGTGCAGGTCTCTACAACGCGTCATCTCGGTCGCATTATTTGTGGAGGGTGTGGGTAAATGTTCATCTTATCTCAATTCATAATCACAGTCACACCCACACCCTCGTAAAATGACCTGATTAGAACGATCATATTGAATTTTGTTTAGTGTTTTATGCTCTTTCTTTTAGAATACTTTAAGAACCAAAATTAAAACGAAATTTTATTTCACAAATTTCAATTAATAATAATTTACATTTTATCAAGTTTTATATAGATTCGTAAAAAATAGAATATTGACGATCCATCGATCAAAAGTACATCTACTGAACTTAAAACATTTATAAGACGAAGGAATAATCAATGGTCTTGTTCTAATTATTTGAATAAAATGTTAGTATCTCGATCGGATGTATGAGTAATAAGATCAATTATTTTGAAAGTTCAAATAAAGGGAAAAGGAAAATGCCTTGAAAACTCGATAAAAATAAAAAATAAAGATAAATAATGTTTCAAAAAATCGTGAAATTATCAATTTGTTTGAGTTAATTTCATTCTATTTTTATTCATCCAATCAAAGGCAAAGTCAACTAATAAATGCTGTTTGATCAATCTACATTTTGCCAATCCAACATATCCAACAGTGGTGTTTTCCTGAATAGAATCAAATGCATATCCAATATCATTAAAATCTTCTGAATTATAATCATAATCGTTCCATTGAAACCATTGACGTGCTTTTGTTTCGGAATTTTCAATTGATGCACCATTTATAAATTTTTTTTCAATATTATTATTTATTTGAAAACGATATTCAGCTAAATGTAGTGACGTATTATTTTCATGTTCTACACCTAATAATAAAACATATCCATTATCATTTAAATCATATAAACGAGCTAATGGAGATTGTTCACCAAATGAATCAATATGTTTATCAATAATTAATTTAGCATTTTTACCATAAGCAATCATAGAATGTTGTGGATGTTCACTTCGTAAAACTCCTGGCCATTTTCGAAATGTTTCAGCGACTATTCCCATATAAAGTGCTGGCGTTATATCAGATTGATACATTGGCATTGATTGACGAATAATATCGAACCATTCTGATGGTACTGGTGGATTTTGCCAATATTTAGGATCGGAATTAACACTAGTTTGAGATGGCATTATAAGAGTTCCTTCAGGACCTAATAAATCTAGTAAAACTTGTATAAGAGTAACGGGTCCACCACAAATCCATCCGATTTTTGACAATGAACAATGAACCAACAGATTCATGCCAGGTGAAATACCTAACTTTTTAAAGTCTTCTTTCAATCGTTCGCCTGTTAAACACGTTCCGAATTCTTTATGTGTTCTGGCAATTAATGCACGTTCTTTCTCACTCATGTTCTAAAATAGATAAAACAGACGGAAAAATGTTTTCACTTCAAGTGGACTGTTGCATTTTCCTACTGTATTCAACAAATTGTTGACCACAAAAAAAGACTTTCTCAATAACATAAGATTTATCACTACACTCACTTTAGATAGATTTTCAAAATTATTATTTCTAAATGACAAATTGCAGACAACAAATCAGTGCTTCGTAAATCTTTGAAACAAAGAAGAAGTTATCAAATATTATCGTTACTTCAATAATGATAAGTATTTAGCATATATTTATATGATTTTTCGAAATTGGTAAATATGCGCTGACCATATAAGATATGAGTCACAATGCAATACTTGAATTAATAATATCTCGGCTATTTGGATACATTAAAATAAAACTTGACGAAATTTGAAAACCTTCCTAATGAAACACGATCCTGATGAATTTATTTCTAATCTTTAATCATACAAAATAATATAAGTTATGATTTAATAATATGTAAACAATAGTAGAAACACACCATGTAGATTTTGATATGTACAAGAGAACTATCCAAAATGTTTCTTTACTCTTTTTTTTCTTGAAATATGCATGATTGAACTTAACTTTTAGTCTTAATTCATTTTTAAAAAAAAATCGATTTTTTGAGACTTGTCTAAAAATTCAAAATCAAGGAATCGTGACTTGTTTTTCTGCATTTTATATAATCTCAATGGATCACTATTAACATTCTGCATCTTCGAATGTACCTTGGACTGAATTCAACAATTTTTATATTTCCATTTAGTTCTGAACATTGATTGTTGGCCAGTTTTGGGGAAAAATTAGTTGAATTTAACATAGAAATATCAAAAATGACATATCTAGAGAGTTAATATGACATATCATATATGAAAGAGATAGATCAAAATCTAATTATCTTTCATTTTGAGACCATTGTCAAGAAATTAGTTTTTTCAATATCAACTCAAAAAAAGTCGAATAAATATAAATAAATATCGAATTCATGATTAAGATTGTCAATTACGTTTAAGCACGTCTATTTTAAGAAAAAAAAACGAGCAAATAGCTTGATTGATTTATTCGCGTAGGAATCGTTTCTCATTTTCTTACTAAAAACTTACCGAGAACAAGGAAACAAGAAAAAGAATACACTTATGAAGCAGACAAGAAACCCACACTCTTGTCTTTTGTTGCTCATACACTATATTATCTTAAAGAAAAACGTGTGCATACGCTTGTGTATCTTAAGCATTTATCACGTGTAAAGAACAATAAAAAGAAGCCATGCTCCCTTTTACAACGGCAAAAGTGACTTTTATGTCAGTCAGTGAAAAGATGACTCTTATTCATTGATAAACCTATCGTTGTCTTTTCATTTTTTTAGATCTTTCAGAGTTCTATTTGTTTTGTGAAAGGCTTTCTTTCATCCGATTAAAATTATGTAGTATGTTCAAATTTGCCAATTATGTTAAAATGTATCTGTGTTCATCGTTGCTTTTAGAAAGTATCGGCCAAAATAAGGAAACATCTTTTCACTCAAAATAATTAATCATCAAGGATTATAATAAACTTGAGAAAATAAAAGGGACGATAGAGAAGTGATGCTATCTACTAATGCAACTATTTACTTAATAAATTAGAGAAACCTGACCTTGTTCTCTTCAGATGCTGCGTAAAACCTAATTTTAAAGGACACTGTAAAATAAGCTTAATTTTTTTTTTCTGTTCAAACTTGTCTCACATAGATACCATGAAAGAGCATGTTTTTGTTACATAGATCCATAAACTTCGTTTAGGATGTGAGTTAATCAGAAGACTGAATTACCTGCCCCCTCCCCCTCTCACACACACAAGGCGCAATCATTTGATGGGTTGAAGCATGCAGATATGAATGATTTTGTCGTCAGCTTAGGGATAAACTTTCAAGAACTACTATGAAGACTGGAAATACGAAAGAAACCTATGTTGATGAATAAGTTTGTTTCAAGTATTTAAACGTCTTTAGGCTAAAAGAAATTAGCGATGTTAATATACCGGTTATCATTGTAAGTTATTCATGTAATCACCAATTTTACAACTAGTCTCCCGTAGCATTCCTACGCACTCCTCATGTACTTTGCGGAGATGACTCGCAGTTATTTAATATTGATCCATCATGATCGAGTTGATATGCCTTTCTTTTTTCTGTACATTCTCGGTTTTTGTTTTGCCATTGCACTCAGTGATGTGTACGAGATCTCTTGCTTTTCTTTCCTTCTTTTCGTTCACGAATTTTGAAACACAATCTTTCTTTACGCAAAGCTCGACTCAACCGATTCTATTAAGATATCTCTTTTTCTCTGTCTTTCGCCAACATCCTCTACTCTTCGTAGCTCTTCTCTATATATTCTTGATATTGGTTAGTGTCTTATTTTTAATTGTTGGCCTCGACGTTAATTAATAGTATGAGAGAAAAATCAATATGTCGTACTTTCAAATATTTAGTGGTAATTTGTCTGTAAAACAGAGTTATATTGGGAAGTAGCGAAAATTGAACTGCTTTGGAATTTATATGATAGAGATGTTCAAAGTATGAATTTATTTAAAATCACCATGTTATCCTTTTAAATACATTCAGTAAGATCTCATATAAAACTATCGCAAGCATCTCACTCTTTACTTTTACTTGTAAATATGTAATTACAAGTTTCGAAGTATCTACTGTTCAAGATTCTTGGAAGAGTATTTATATATGAAAAGTACACAGTTCAAAATCATTTATGCACGCATAAAGCTCACGTCAGTGTTATCAATCCCTCGAGAAGGAATTCCTAGGTATCAAATACTCATCTAGTATTATAAAGAAATGGAAATAGAAACTGATGGTCGAATATAAAACACTGAGCACTGTCTTTATATTAGAGATTTACACCACGTGTAAAGTGTTAAAAATGAGCTACGAATGTGAACATGACAATCCTAATTTGACTCTTTTCAAGTATGATAAATATAAACAGCAAGGCCTCTTGTACTTTGCAGATGTTGATGTGGACACAAGTAACAAAAAACGTAGTGCATACACATTTACCATGCAAATATAATTAAAGTGACCCCTAGACACCATATTGATATAGATTCTTTCGATGGTGTATATGAAAGTTTCTTTCACGAAGTTATTACAATTGTAGAACAATAAAATTTAGTTTGGCAACATTGAATTGTTAATCTCTATTCTGTTTTCGAATGAAGTAGAGTTTCTGTATGCTTAATAGTCACTATTTCACAATAGATAATGGATACTTGTAAACTTTACAATATCCAGACAAACTTATCTATATACCGTAGAATACTTTTCTGATGCATTAGAATCGAAAATAGCTTATCTTCACCATTGGATTGCTCTGGATCAATTCAATAGCAGGATGTGGGCGTGGGTGTGCGGGTGTTGGGTGTGGGTATGTTGAAGTGGATGTAGGTATCTTTCAACTACCAGGCATCACAACCTTATACACCACCCCACACTCACACTCCACACACCCACACGCATCCACCCACCCACACCCTGGTCTTCCCGGAGGTAACTTGGCGTAAAAAACTATTTGTGCTGAAATGTATGTTATATAAGGTAGTTTTTGGTGCTGATTCCGAGTATGGCATTTGTTTTGATCTGAGGTCGACGTTGACTGTAAAATAGTCTCGAAATGGTGACTTTTCTACAATGTTTCGATGAAAATGAACCTTGGGGCCGTTTAGATTTTTCTGAAAACCACATGAATCGACAGAGCGTGAGCCGGAGCATTTTTTGATCATGAAGATTCTTCTGTCCAATTTGATTTTTAAACACAATAGGACACTACAAAGCCGCTTATGTATATATGAGAATAGTATCTATCGTGCCCATTTGACCTCACATAATCTCCGATGGAAGTTATCAGAAAACATTATTAATACACCATTTTGTATAGCACCAAAACCTGCGTTGATCTACACTATTAGGTTTAATACTAGGCTTATAAAAGAAAAAATTATGGATAGCATAATTATTTGCTGGAATACCTAAGACTGATATATCTCCCAAGACTATCTAGTCTTTGAAGAATGTTTTTGTGTTGCATAAGAAACAAAATAAATACACAGAAATGTGCAGAATTCCATGCTCTATCTTTCTAGCCTATTGAAAGTCAAACATACGGGGGTGGCAGATTTTCGATCTTATCCAGCGAGGTCATTTTAAATTTAAAATAAATTAACAGGGACATACCACCCCTAGGTATTGACTTCCTATTGAATAGTGTTTCGAAAAGAGAAAAACACCAATTTTGAAAATAGGCTAAATTTCATTGTACGCTCTATNCTTCATTCCTTCACACCCCACACCCACACTCACCCCCACACCCACACCCACACCCACCCACATCCACACCCACCCACACCCACCCACACCCACACCCACACCCCACACCCACATCCACCCATTGTAGGGCAAAATTTTTGATAAATTTTATCATCCACTTCTTAAAAAACAGGCTTTTTTCAGAAAAAACAAACATTTCTTTCGTTTTCTTTCTCAGATTATGCTTATTCAAACGCGCAACACAAATTTCTCTGTCCAGGCTCATTCAGTATATTTAATTCTTTTTATTTGAAAGAGTACGTCAAAATAAAGGGCACCACCGAGTCTTTTTTAAATTAAGTGTTGCTTTTTATTATATATACAAACACTTATGTAAATGGGCGCCCCTTTTTAGACGGTTTTATTAATTATTGAACTTGTGATCCCTCTTCTCCGCTTAAAAAGTAAGAATTTAAAAAAAAGGACTCTGTTGTGCCCTACATCCTAACATGCTCTTTCAAACAAAAAAAAATTAATATTTTGAAAGAACTCGGACAGAGAGAAATGGATTTCGAAATGACCTATCTTTGATCTTGTGTGGTTCATATCTCTATCAAACATTATGGTATAGGGCTAAAAGTTTTACCATAGCGTCTCCAGTTAAGTATCAACGTGCTTCGAAAATTTCGGACGATTTGAATGTACTTGGTTCTGGAATTGATTTTTGGAGGGAGAGGCCTTAAAAGTATGGGGGTAGTGTAACGTTTCTATTGAGAACAGATGTGTTCAGAACGAGTTAGCAAAACTCGACTTTTTTTGTTGTTATCTTCCGCTCATCAGCCATTTGGTTTTTGATTTGATACTCATGTGAAAGACTGTACCATTTTAACAGCTATTCGTTCTTGATGAAATTGTAAACGTAAGAATCAATTGAGAATATTGCGGTCTTCTCAGTGAAACTGATTATTTAACTATTTATATTAGCAGCTACTTGATCTCTTTATGAGTATGCTCGTATACGATGATTATAGACAAAAGCAGAAAGAAGTACAAATTTAAATTACTTGATAATTAAAAGTTCAGAAAACATGGGAAAATAACATACGAATGAAACATGAAGAATTAGGGGAAGCAATTGCTAACTCGTTGCTTGCTGGTGCGCCGCCCCTGTATCCAAGAGACTATGAGAATAAACATTCATTATTACCAGACAGTCACGATGTTCAACTTTAAAATTTTGAATCAGGATCTATATAATGGAGTGAAAGCCTGTTATTTGATAAATTGTATTTTCTCTACCACTGTACTTATTTTAATCAAGTTTCCATTCTATAAATAGTGTTAGATGATAAAGATAAGTAAGTTTATTTCTAAACGATATAATATCTTTTATCGATAGGTTTAGCTGTTGTATATTTCTTACTTGCTTTTCGTAAAACAATAACATATGTTCATATGTTCGATTTTGTATTTGCTGAAGCCGATCGATTGAAAAAGAAGGTTTTAAGTCTTTACTGAAGTCTATTAAACTTGAAATGTGACTATTTTTACTTAAGTATTTTAGGAGAAAAATAATTTATCAAAAATGTTTTTTTTTTCATTTTTGTCTAAATATATAACGCAAGATACACTCATTCGAATAATCATTTTCATGTCTAGATAATGTATTAATTTCATAATAGAATTCATCAAATGATAGCTTAAACATTGATATAGAACCAATGTATTTCTTATGTATTTTCTGGATTCCGACAAGATTTATTTGATGTTGAACGAGTAAAAAAGCTAAAGTTTATAAGATTTAATTCTGCAAATATGTAATGTAACCAAATAACGTGTACTTAGACAAAAAAACACCATTTGTTAAATAACGTATGATAGAGTTATATGACAACACTGCGAGCAGTTAAAGGACAGAAGAGTATTGTTAATAGAATTGTCTTTTTTTTATAGTCAATAAAAAATGAAAATATCAAAGGTATTTAAAATAAAACAACATTTCATCAATATTATTATTAAATTTTTTTGACTTTTTCTTGCAAGAACATGTATGTGTAAAGAGCATTTGTCAATGGATAATATCGTCAAGGATATTGAAGTCGAGAACATTATGGTAAGAATAATTCCAAGAACACGACCACTCACATGAGCGTATCTAGCCATGGTATTGCAGTTCAAAATTCAATGGCCCTGCATTCCTTAGAAAGCTACATGCTTTGCCATAGAATGAAAGGATGCAATCTTTTTAGAAAGTGATAAGTTAAGCAATTCGAGAAACAAATGAATAACAGCGTATCTGCTTTCACGATTATGTAACTGAGCGACCAGGTTTTATTACATGCATTCTGTTGAAGAGAGAAGGAATAGTACTAATAGTATTTTCATGGGATGATTAGAAAATTTATTAGATTTATTCTGTTTTCGTACATTAAATGAGTAATATTTAAATTCGATAAGAGAACAAAAAAAGGAAATATACGATTGATTAGCTCATGTCGAATTTGAATAGTAGAAATACAGGTGCAGCCCATACTTTTGGATCTCTAGGTAATCGACCGATCGGTATGAAAGTGTAATTGTGAATAGTACCATCATCATCAACTCTACCAATTGTGGCAAACGAGCTATTGTGCACAGTTTCATTTTCTTCCACTTTTCCAATTAATGTTCCGGTCGAGTTACGAACACTTCCATCTGTCGAAATGGTTCCCAAGATTGAAAATGATGAATCGCGAACAGTTCCACTTTGTTCGATTTTACCAATCATTCTAGAAGACGAATCTCGTATCGTTCCGTCATCATCAATACGTTCTACCATTGAGATGAGTTATTTTGCTTCACGGACATGCAACAAAGTGGAGAACGCGAATCATTTGTTTGAACAATATGAAAGATAAATCATGGATGATTGCAGTAAGCAAAGAGAGATAATCTGAAAAATTATCAAACAAAACAAAATTTCCTTCCATGAAAGCTACCATCAAACCTTGTCTCTCAATACAAATTTCCAGATCTAAAACTAATTTACCTGTTGATTTCTTCCCCAGTATGTTGTCTCGTTTTCTCTATTCTCCTTTTCCCTTTTAATATAATTCTGTGATCGCTACTATCAATCAGTCTTACTTTGACTCTTTACTATTATTTTGGTCCATTGTCAGACCTTAGACGACTTGTACTTTGTTAGCCGATCCTCCTTCAGTTATGCACTTGATCCTTAATTCTAAAACAATGAGTCCTATTTGATAATTTAGACATCAAAAAGAGAAAATTGCAATCGGATCAAATACTTGTTATTAGAGATACGTTTCTATAAACTAGTGTTTTAGATTAAAAATATATTGATTGTATCTTTCTCTAGAATTGTTATCAAAGTGATTCTTGGCAAAATGATAACAATACGTCGATTTTTACTTCATGAGCATGTGATGATTATACTTCTTTTCCAGCTTTCCACTATATCACATAAAGCTATTTTGGATTTATTTGTTGCTACAACATTTTATATAGGCGTCATCTGTGGCAAGTGCAACTGCTAATGATTGCAAGAAAGTGTGTGAATGCAAGAAAACAGAAAATCTATATTTATACACCCAAGAGACATGATATTATTGAAAAAATGTTTGTTTGTTATATTTACTCTTTCTCTAGTCTTTTCAACTAATCTACCCTGAACATTAAATAAATCCTTATTGGAGATTTTTTAGTTGATAGCACATCATTAAGTAATTAAATGTATCAACAATATTATCATAACAGATGAGTTATTCGTTTTAACGATATATTTTATTTTTTATTCAAATTTTTGTCCTTGATTCTTAATCATTATACTTATTTTTTTTCAATCAAATCTACTTTCCCTGTTAGGTTCACAGTCTGAAATTAACAATATTCCATTTAGGATATTTTTGCATCAGTTATTAATGAATGTCTTTACGTTACTTAAAGAAACTTGTAATTGAAATGGTATCAATAATATTTGTATTAGTATAAGCGTATTAAAGATGATGCGTGAATTGCACTAGAAGAAGTCAATGCAATAGATCTCGAAAAATGCAATCAGTTTAAATTGTATTAATACAACTTGGCAATTTGAAAATCAGTTTTCTTCAAATAACTATGACAGACTTTTCCAACAATAGGATATACGACATGGGTGAAGACGAAACCTACACCTAAATCCCCAAATGACAGAAAATAGATTTTTAATCCATTAATTTACATACCATAGACTCATTGAAAAATAACGACTGTAATTTAAATTTTAAAAATTGTGGCTAAGATTTTCAGTATCAGTGATAAGATCATTTTAGAATTGAATGACGTCAATTTTCTGTAATTAAATGGATCGATTTCATTCATAGGACGAAGATTGAATGACATTCGAGTAGATTAATTCGTTTTTTTTTTTACTTTCGTCATGATGGTGTTAACAAATTATTTTGAGTGTACTATGAGAAAAAAAACAGCATATGTCATCATACCACTAGCAAGACTTAATAAAAGCAAGTATTTGATTATATATATATCTTCTGATCAAACCAAACAATACAGCTTATTTTTCCAATTTTCTCTTCACATTTATATAGCAATTGTATCGTTTACTTCTCTAACTACTTTTCATTTCAAAATATAAGGTATACGACTAATTTTTGAACAATTTTTGATAGTAACATTATGAAGATGTGCGCTTTTCACTATTGAAGAGAGAAGAGCCGTAGCCATTCACAAGTAAATCAAAACTTGCTTAGTCAGTAATAGATCATTAGGTGAGTCTTTGATGGAGATTTTTGACAACGATAATTTTCGATGGACTTTAAATCAGAATGATTCATAGAAAAAAAGTTTCAAAATATCGTTTTGAAACTCTTCAACAAGAACTTACTTGATTCGTCGATCGTTGACTAATCTAATTTTGATATATAGTGGGATAGCCCCGAATCTTCTCTCTTGAATAATGAAAAATAAATAAATTATTAAAACACGCGTAAGTCTATCCTCATGTTTTGTTAATAATAAGCTTGCTGGAATAAAAAAAAAAAGGATAATCATGAGATGACCATAGCTAGCCAGAGCTGACCATTGGATCTGATTTCCATATTTCTGTTTCCGAATCCTTACCAGTTTTTCGAGTTTTCCGGTCGAAGACGATCCGTATGCTTTGAACTGGGAAGGTACTGTGCTCAAATTTCAGTACCACCAGCTACGGAATGATCCTAGACAAGTTATTAACGACTATTTGTCTTGGATCACCCGTTCAACAGTAAGTTGACTGTGCCATAACATACATCAGCTCTTGTAGTTAGTTAGTGTGTATGTGGAGTTCAAAAAATTGAGTCCAAGAGTTATGAGTTTCATCGACTTGTTGTTCAAAGCTACAGTTAGTCATTGTTGTAGCGACGATATGAGAATATAAAATTTGCCGTTCACTACTGACCCACACTGCAATTTCAACTATAATTTCTAACAAAAAATACAGAATTGAAAAAAACGTTTACACAAAAATTGCATTAACTGGAACATAAATATTCTGTTTTCAATTTACAGTGTGTATTCTGGCATGTGTGCATGCTGATATTATTGCCATGTTTTTAGATATAAAACAGTATGATTCAAATAACAATATTGTTGTTTTATTTTACATGGTTCTTAAACAACAATGTGGTCTTAAGTGTTCAACCATATTTTCCTTCACAAGTCACATTTTCTATTAATAATAATGGTGGTGAAACTATTATGGCAATCGATGATGTCAATCAGAAAGCATATCAAACATATACATCACGTGCATCAGGACAACGATATGGTTTTGTGATGCAACATTTTCCCTATACTATTCCGAATTCACCAGAATCGAAGCATTATGTTGAAATGGCAACATCTAATACATCAAACAGTTGTTATTATGGTACGTATTGGGAATATGGTGTTGGTACATACACTTCATTTCCATCTCATTGGTACTATAATATGACTACATTTAAAATTGGAAATTATGTCAAATTTACATATCCAATGATACATTCGTCTAATCATACACAAGAAAATGAAGATTATTGGTATGCCAATGAAATGTGTGATGTCGATCCTGATCAACAACATCCATGTGAAGAGATTTATTTTGTTAAAAATACAGATATACCTTTACGAACAACACGAATTGTTCGTCGTGGGTGGATAGTTTTACAAGAGACAACCAAGTATAGAATCATATCGATTGGTAAACCTGATGATCGTCTTTTTGATATAATTCCAAAAGACTGGGCATATAATTGTAAAGACACATCCTTAGGTCTTTTATACTATCCACAGACATCAAAAATCACTTTGAATCAAAGTTCATCAGTACAAATTTGGCTTATTAGTCCACCACATCGAATTTATGGGAATGATACAGTCATTGTTGAATGGCAACCGGATAGTAGTTCTGAATGTAAAGATTGTGTAATATGGACACCTGAACGTTTATATTTCAATTCGGAGAATTTTGAAAAACGACAAGAACTTGTTGTAACTCGTGTTAAAAATGGAGGCAAACAACGTCTTATTCCAGTACTTCATGGCGGTGGATATGAAACAGTTTTTACAGGCGTCTATCCAATTTATATTGAATAGATTTTGTTCAGTTTTTTTCCTCTCTAAGATCTTTTATTAAAATTGCAAAAATGCATATACATATGCATTTAAATACTGCACTTTCAAAATTGTGTTCATATCAGCAATTACTATGACTAAATAACACCATCACATGTGTTTTTTGTCTTTTGTGCTTTACGAGTACGTTTTACTAGTGCTAGTTTCGTTTGTTTTGAGTTTTTAGAGCATGCCTTGAATCTATGGATAACTTAGCTTTTACTCGACGAAACTTCGTGTGACATTGCATAGGCTTCTATCACAATTTTATTTTTTTGAAGTGTATTTATTTAACTGATTGTCAAAAGTTCTCTATCTTGCATAGATTGAGATTAGATATCGCTTATGTCTTCAAGACAATTATTCCAAAAATAACTTCATGAGTAATTTCATTTCTTCATATGGCAGAATATAATAGAATTACAATAACAAAGGTTATATGTAAAATAACAAACTAATCTTTTTAAAGAATCTAAAAATGATTCTATTAGTCTGCCAGTCAACATTGAACTCTGACTATTTCTCAAAAGTTTTTTCTTTGTATTTTATCACAACTTAATTTTCTTCACATGATGTCTCCCAGGTATCAAAGGTTTTTTATTGCTATTCTATTAGAAGTCTTGAAAATGCGATAGTGCTAAGTTTTCAGATTGAAGATATCAACTGAAGCATTCTCTGATAGCCTAATAAATCAGTTTTTGATCTAAAAGTTCATTGAAACCCGATATAGATTCGCTGAAAACAGATCCATTTTATGCAGAATTTTGTTTTTATCTATCAAAATTCATAAGAAATTCTTAGATCTTCAAATATTTTTCCAGTAAAAAATACCAATTAGCATCCTGCTTGGCTCATATTTTCACAACTAATGATTTTTTCAGTCTCATGAAGTTATAGTTTTTACTAATGCACCAGCGAAATTTTATTGCCGATTATGTAAATCAGTATATTCTTCTAGATGACATCATGCGAGTAGTTTTTCAGCCAGATTTTCATCTCTGAATCCTCTCAAGGATATATGAAAAAATTAACTTCATCAAAGAATTGTTTTGACGGTGGAAACGTAGTTGCGAGCTTATGCAATGTCATTTAAAAATGAAAACAGAGACTTCAAATTATTTAACCTTTCGATTACCGTCAACACAAATATGTGTCATCAACTTTATCGATGTCTAAAAGTGATGTAATCCATTATATTACATACTTCTTTTTAGATATACTTGCATAGAAATACGCCTCAGACAGCTGAAGCTTGTGATACCGTCATTTCATAATGATATGTTCTACAGTCGTGCCTTTAAAAAGGAGTGTGCATAAGCAACAGTCAGGTTTTTGTACATATGGTTACCTTTTCTTCCCTTGTTGTTATTCGAGAATTCACTGTAGTGTAGTTGGCGATCAGGCACTTCTCGACTTTCATTCCTTCGAATGAAAGCAATCGGACTTCTCAAAGAAGATGTAATGCATCTCGTATAAATCTGTAAAATTGAATTAAAAATACATCGCAATAAGTATTTTCTAAAAAGCTTTTGTTTTCTTTTATATCCGTAAACAAAGGATTTATAGAGTTTGTACAGTCATTGGGTGAGCATCGAATATAATCTCGTTTTGATTACTTCTTTCATTGCGCTATTTTCGGTCGGTGGCAAAAATGAGAAGTGGATACGTTGTGTTTTCAGCGGACACTGATATAACAGTATACATCATATGGATTTTTATCTAGCTCATCATGCAGAGAATAGCTAATGTCCTCGCTTCATTGCTAAAATATTCATTATCTATTAACATCAGAGATAATAGACTCACAAGATTAATGGGGATACCGCTGCATATATGGATGCATTATGTGAAGAGAGGATATAGGAGTAAACACAAAGCACATAAATATCTACTAGTACATTCAACCACATCCTACTTCATGTTTTATAGTATAAAGAAGGAAAAAATTTACAGAATGGTACCTATAGATACTAACATGCAACAAAGAATTGATCAATTGTACACATAGTACTTGTAATTAGAGAGAAAAATGAATTAATTAACTAAAATACTCTATGAGATAAAGTTTGTTTTTCCATGTCATTTATTCATGCACTATTCTGATATTTTGGAAACGTACTAGACTTCTTCTTGGTTGTAAGTGTGCAGGTAGTAGTTCAATGAAAGCTTGTATAAATGTTTGTCGAAACATATAAGAAGCCCAAAACAAACAATAAAATGATTTAACATTATTTATATAGTTGAGGTAAAGAGCTATAGCAGTAATAAATGTTTCAATGTATAACTGCTTAGTACTTTTTTGTCGACTTTGTCAAATATTTTTATAAGTCAATAAAACAAAAATAAGTATCATTATTGGCTGCATTAAACCATTGATTATAATATATAATACACTTGTAACTAATAGATATTTTAAATCACTTCCAATACCAGGTATCAAGTCGAAAAGAATAGATAAATAAATTGATAAGATAGAACTTCGTATGAAACTATAGAAATTATCCATGGTACCATTTTAAGTTGATTGACACGACGAAAACATGATGAAACACTACATGAACATGCAAATCGATCAATAATAGACAAGGGTGTGGGTGTGGGAGAATATGGATTCAAAACATGGAAGAAGAATGAAAAAAGTATTCAAACTGAAAACTATTTAATGTGTTTGGCAAAATGTCATAATGCTTGTGTGTATCGCAGACAAAATTTTAAAACTTACAAATTTTATTTTCCTTATCACTATGCAGTTTGTTTATTAGTATGTACATAAACTAGAATACCATACTTCCGTTTTCTGTTTAATATATGCAACCGAGATCTTTTTATCTTATTTATTTATACCTTTCTCTATCAATGAGCTTTTTCAGAGATCTTTTCATCCCATTTTATACTCGGAAGAAAACAAGATCATTTTCATCATTTTTTTTTCGAGATCAATTCAACGTCGTTCCGAAACATTCAGATAATTCTTCTTTTCTAATATTATTTTATTAGAATTTCGTTTATAGGTTTTTTGCCCATCATTGTTTTTGTTCTGCCAAAATGATGTAAAATGAAATGATTACATTATGATGAAGAGAATATCTATTCTTTGTTGAAAACCTTCTATATTTTCAATGATAGAAAAAGTGAGAATGAAATTATTTTACTCTTGTTTCTTCATTATTGAAGATGTATTTAGTTTTAAAGACCTGTGCATACAAAAAGTTCCATTTTAATGTCTTATTTCATTTTCAAGTGTGATCTTTATCTTAAATTGTAACAATAAAATTAAATTATTCATATTTTTAACAGTGTTTTTGTCTTTACTTGTATGGTGAAAGTCAAAATAAAACAAGAGAAAAAAAAGCGTGAAGAAGGTCTTGAATATATTCAAGAAAAATGAATATTTTCGTGGATAACCAACCATACATACTTCAAAATTTCACATGAAATTCAAATGGAAACATATGTGATATGCTCATGATTGTTTTTACAAATCTGCTTTGTCATCGAACCATTCTTACTACTCTTCGTTCAGTTATGTGTATCAGAAAAAGATTTGCATAATCACGATGAAATTTGATATCACATTGTTCATAAACATTTTGAGATAAACAGAGATAAACTTAAGTCGACTTTCATTTTAACGACGCATACTATTAACAAGCGAGCAAAGTTTATGGCGAACAAAATTTTCTCGTCTCTTTTGGTATTACCTGTGGATATCATCTATCGCATTCTGGACAATCTCGAACCAGTAACAATTTTATTTTCCCTTCGTAATGTATATACAAGATTGAATATGATCACTGATACATATCCTCGATATCTGGTAAGTTTCAACTTTTTCATAGTGTAAGATTATTTCTCGTGCTCGAGATATCATTCAGTTCAATGAATGATTATTTCAGGTATTTTGACGATTGATTTTTAGAATAGTAAAAAGTTCAAATTAATATTTAGATTTGGAGGAATATTATTTAAAAGAAAAGAATCATTACGTAAAGCAAACTATTTCGCAAGATTTCACTGAGTTTTCCATTTTTCTTCAATTGTTTACTAAATTAAAAACAGTGTATATCCATTTTTGAAACCTGATTAAAAATAATAATTAAGCGAGTAGGACTTGTCATCATGAATACTCAAACTACTAGTGCGAGTATTCGAGACATTTTATGCATACGAATGCTGTTCATATACACTGATGAGTACTCATATGAGTTTATCGTTTAAGATTCACTCATAACTATAGACCTAAGTACTCAGTGCAGTACTCATGCTTATTTTTCAAAAGAATATCTAGCGAAATACTTGAGCAGTTGTAAATAAAAAAACTAGATTGATGTTATCTAAGAAAGAAAAATGATCTATATAATTACATGAAAAATAGAAAGGAATTACTTTAGTATACTGTCTACTTTAACATCTATTTTTCGCTTGTGACTCATCTTTAGAATTCTATCGAATGGTGACTTTACGAAGAAAAAAAATATTGAATATTGACTTTTAGTGGTTAAATGTTAACCGTTCATTCTCGGGTAAAATTGAATATTTTTACTGGATGCGGGTGTAGTTGTTGAGAAACGTGTGTTTGATACCCACACCCACAGTCTTCTACTTCATTTTATTACTTAACTAAAACAGAATGAAATCAAGATGAAAAACGAATGATCGTCATCAGTACATGCATAAAAAAAACTTCATTTCTCTTAAATCTGATAAACTCTTCCAAAAAGATCTCGTTTAAGAGTAAACAAAATGCAATTTTATCAACGTGAAAATGTTCACAAAACCATTGCTTATTACAGTTTATCTTTCTTTGTAACAAATAGTTTGATTGACATATATTTCATACTGAAATGTGTATTTTGTAAAATGTTCACATATTCGCAGCTATCATATGAAATGTTCCACAAATAACCTACCAAGAAGAAAACGGTACAACTTCATTGTATTATGTCTAAATGAGCTTTTTTTCCTGATGACACAGAAAACAT